TTAAAATGATGTTATTTGAATATGATGATTATTATTATTATAATAAGCATCACATTAGTGCACGTGTGATGGTGTTTTATGATAATAATGCTTTATTATGTAACGGTTCACTTAGTTCAGTTTCTATTCGAATAAATGAAGGTTGCCGAGTTTCAGATATACGTATGTATATTTTACATGTATTAAAAAGAATTCTTTTCTTAAAAGAATGATTTTTTTTAAATTTCCATTTATTAATGGACATGTACGTTTAAAGAGGCACACCTTTTCTTATTTGAAGGCTTTACAGTCGTTTTATGAATGACTAGTAATCTCACCCGTGCGATGCACGGCATGAGATTTTTTTTTAAATTTTATTTCTGCTAAACAGTTAAAGACACTGTATTCATTGATCGACGACACAGAGCAATGTCATGCAATAAAGATACACAAAACGCAATACACAAAAGACATGTTTAATATTATGGTGAATATGAGATTATAAAATATGACCTAAAAGTTCAGAAAAATCACACAACTACGTCGAAACCATGACGTAAATTTCGCGGGTATAATTAACATTAGCCAACGTTTTAATTAAAAAATAAACAAACTTGTAGTTTTAATTGAATTGTTTAGAATTATACTCCATACAATAATAAAACTTGACATAAATGAAACATCTAAAATGCAATTTACTAATGATTACAGAGTAGTACATTATTTTTTATAGCCCACAAAATAGTAAGTAACACGCAATATAAACATCATTTGAAAACAAATTACATTTCATGGAAAATTTTATAAAACACTTCTTTGTACCTTCTGTCTAGCATTAACCCTTGTTAAAAGGGAAATTACACTAAATAGGACAAAAAAAGTTTTATGTGTTCCAAAATTGGACCTTAAGCATGACAATATTTTTCAAGCTTCACATTAATTACGCCTATTTTGGCAATAAAAAACATGACAATCTTATTTTGAAATTCTCAAACTTATTTATTCATATTCAAAAATTTTCCCTTATTAAAATCCTTCATTCAAGTAAATTTTTGACAAAGATTTTTTTCATTTTCAAATCAAAGGTCTATATATATTAACTGAAGGTATAAATTTTATAATTACTAAATAATATGATGACATTATATCTATACGAATTGCATTATTTAGACGATTTGCTGATGTAACCTGGCAAATCAGGGGGGTGCAGATATATGAAAATGTGTTATGTCTTTATCTGTATGAATTGCATTATTTAGACGAATTGCTGATGTAACCTGGCAAATCAGGGGGGTGCAGATATGTGAAAATGTGTTATATCTTTATCTATACGAATTTGCATTATTTAGACGAATTGCTGATGTAACCTAACAAATCGGGGGGGGGGGGGGGGGGGGGTGCAGATATGTGAAAATATGTTATTCTTTATCTATACGAATTGCATTATTTAGACGAATTGCTGATGTAACCTGACAAATTCGGGGGGGGGGGGGGGGGGTGCAGATATGTGAAAATGTGTTATGTCTTTATTTATATGAATTGCATTTTTTACACGAATTGGACGACATTATTATAATATTGGCTGACTCGACTCACCTAATTCCATGAGAAAATATTTTGGGCAAAAGTATCTACCTCTTTCCCACTGCCTTTTTGTTTGTTGCGAAGTCCCTACCCCTTCATTCCCCATAATCTCACCGTACACATTGCACCACATATTATACGCAAAGAATATCCACAGTGCTCATCTCTACGATAGACCAATGGAAATTGTTTATTATAATATTTCTGACTCGACTCACCTAATCCCATGAGCAAATATTTCATTTTTATTTATTCTAACAAATAAATAAATGATTCATTGAAATTGACGTTTTTTGAGCAGGAACTCTATCCACCAAAAAACTTTTGCTTTTATATTAGAATAGATAGATAAAGAGAGTATTAAGCATGACATCAAAACAAAGTAAACACCCAACAAATACTATCGACCATAACATGATAAAAATGCATTATATCAAACATGTTAAAGACTTATTTGAATATCACTTTGTTTCTACATAAAAAATCTATATTGAGAATGAAATTAAGAACAAATGAGGTATGCACATACTTTTATTATTATGGGATAATTAGAAAGTATACATCCATAGTATATTAATCAGAGTTGATTTATAATAAATTTAGTTCCTAACTATAAAAAAAATACTCCGGTAGTTTTTATTTAGAACCCAAAAATTCAACTCAAATTCCTTAGCTATAGGCCCAAATATCCAAGAATCTTAACGGGCCATCCAACTGTTGCCTGGGAACCCGTCGAATTCAAACCCAACAGACTGACCCATTTAAGTTGATGCTAAAGTTGACACCCCTCAAACCCCCTCTTTATTCGTGACTACTTCAAACTTCTCTCAACCCACTCCTCAAAGAGTCAAAGCTCAACTGTTTTTCATCAAAGCACCGGCCAAACGTAGTGCAACCGTGATTCATCAAAACGATGACTAAACCAACTGCCAGCTCAAATGACGTTCTCAGTTACACAATTTTGGTAAGATCAAGATCTTAAAATTTTAAATATAAATATTTCATAAATCAACAAAATCAGCCAATACAACCGCTTTGGCCAAAACACCATAAATTTCAGTAGAATTAGTCAATTAATTCAATTTTAGTGTTACCAAACAGACTCTAAGAGTTTATTGGATGACAATGTTTTTTGTCTTATCAGACTTATCTGCTAATTTTTTCACCAAACACATCAAATCTCATCATTATTGAACGTGGATATATATTTTTAATGTTTTTTAAACGGATATTATTTAAAGTTTTTTTGGAAAGGACATTATTTAAAGTTAATACACCTAACTATAACTCTAAATCATTATGGAGTAGTTTTTAGTTAAAACAAATTAAACTAATCCATTTTTGAATGTGTTGGGCATATCCTAAGCATATACACGGGCCTGGATTAATGAATCTATTAATTTTGAGTATTTTAGGCCCATAAGTATGGCCCGATTATTAAACCATATAACTCCTCTCCAGAATGAAACCCTTCTTTTCTTCCCAACAATTACACTCGGCCAGCCTCTCTACCCAACTACAGGTCTACAGCAACAACCCCACCCCTAACACTTCCTTCAACAGTTCAACCTATGGCCGGTTGAGAATCACCCATGCACCCCCAACTACGTGCGGATCCGCCGGCAACATATTCAGGCAATGGTCATGAACCAACCGATAGAAGGCCTCCACTACCTCCGCCCAATTCGCATTATACGCTCCTCTAAACTACAAAAACGGTAAGAAACTCTCTCTCTACTACACACAATCACCTCACCGGTTAATTGTTTTCGTAGAACAACCCAATCGTACTTGTATACGAATCATTGTATTCACCATCCACGGATCTAGCAAATCTGTGTTTATTACTGCCATATTACATAAATTTTTTCTGTAAAAATGATATTTATAATACATGCATGGATTATTATTTTCCTAAAAAATCATCTTTCCATAACTCATTTACTGGCACATCTTTCACATAATATTATCTGAAAAACGAATAATGCACAGCCGTTTGAATAAGATCTTTTAATACAGATATGCTTATATTCATATAATTGAAAAAATCGATTCTATTTTTTAATATTTTTTTAGAAAAATAACTGAATGTCAAATGTCGATAGATGAACCGATTTTGTTTTGAATTCTTTTAAATATTCAATTTTGGAATAATATTTACTTGCATATTCAATATTTTTATTTTCTTTTGTTGAAAAGCACACAGAAACAACTGCGTTAAAACAAAGTTCCTTTGTGCATGCATTTTTCCTGAATTCAAAGTTTTAAAAAATTGACACTAATTGTGTTTTAATTTTAAAATTATTTTGAAAAATACTTTCTAGGAACTTCTCAATTTTTTTTAAAATTTACAACAGGCTGTAAATATCTACATGTGTCATCAATGCTCATTTAAACGTACTGTGTCCCACACACACTAAGATGTTACACCGACAGTAAAGAGAGTATCTCTGGCCAATTGATTGATGATTTTCTATGATCATAAAGCAATGGGATTGCAGATTCTACATATGATCTCTATCATCAAAGGTATGTGTCACTTTTTTCACGTGATTGTGTTATTTTTTAAGGAGCATCAAACTATTCCTGTTTGGAATTTTTAGCCTCTCACATGTCAAAACCACCAGTTTGGTCTCTCTTCTTAATAATAAAATCCAAATAAACAGTCACTTTTCCTTTTCATTCATCCCCATCTTTTCTTCTCATGGTTCTTACAAATGAAATCAGGTCGGGACCATCTATGAAGAAACACAGCTAATGACTCATCTGATGAAGCAAGTAAACACTACAAACCATTCGGCAGGTCACCCTTATCTCATACAACTTCAATTTTCAATTTATTAATAGACTTATTTATTAATTCATTCATTCATTTATCACATGATAAATACTCTTTAACTAATTAAGGTATACCACTGTTTAATCGGGAAAGGAGGGTGACTGTAGTGCAGAAGCATGTGGTCACACGTCCTGATGTCCATATGGTCATTCAAGCAGAAGTGTAAAATTGGACACTTATTTCTCTTTAATTAGAATCAGGTGATTCTCACTTGACAAACTTTCAAAAAAAAAAAACATCCAAACGATATTCATAGATGAATTTTCATGACTGGATTTATATGCACAAAACATCTTTCAAAAGTGGAAATTTGTTACTCTATTATTTTTTGTTCTATCTTCCACTTAATCAATATTCATAATTAAATGGATCAACATATAATGAAACGTACAGTCCTTTACACATATCATGCCCACTTTAAGAAATTGCTGACTTTCTAAACCCTTTGTATTTTGCAGGAAGTTGAATGTCGGTTTTTTTTTTTGGGTATTTTGTAGTTTCATAACACGCATTGTTGATTGAATCCATTTGTGATCCTAGCTGGTAAAGTTTATGATGTAATAATTAGATATAGGATAGAAATAGGAAATGAATGGCACCAACAAAGATTTCAGGTATGTGTCTGAATCTTACTCTATTATCCAAATGTAGTCATGCTACTCCTGCTACACTTATTTAAGTCAAATAAACAAACGACTGATTATAATCTAAACAATATAGATTACTTTTAAACAAATACAGAAGAAAATTAATATAAACACTAAATTTTGGAACAGAGGACTTCACTCTTATAAGCTTTCTTGGTAGACCTGAAAACATTGAATGGGGAATCAGGAATGAGTGTGGATCTTTGAGCCCAAAAGTCTTGATCAGGAATGTGAGTAAATGTCTGAGCCCTGTGGATTTCTGAACCATTAGTTTGAAAATACAATTATACGACAAAAATTTAATCAGGATTCAGGGATATGAGTGAAAGTGTACCAATTCCTGATGTCTTTTGATTATTCTTGTGCTTGTAAATCGGCAAATGAAACCCATGAGTATGTCCTGCTTTTATAGCAAAAAACGCATGGGCACCTTCAGGAATGGGCCACAACACATTTGTCCTTATCGTGGCTAATTGAACTAAATTACATGCATCCTCCCACATTTTTGATTGGTGAATTGCCAATAAAGCATCCGCATACAGATTACAGAAGATATCCAATCTTCAGCACTTTAGGTAAAACCGTAGAATGATACGGAGTATTAGTTTTAGGTTTGCGAATTGAGAACGTGCTTGCATCGGCCTTGTATTTAAATAGGCTGTTGAACATAGAAACAAAAAAAAGAGATTACTATAGCACCGCCCATCCCATCCAATAGAAATCAAGCAATCCTAAATACTAACTATTCCACGTACTAAAGTAGAGCTGCCCACCCGGTTGAACCAATAGGAGCATGGTACTTTAATAAAATCTCACCAACTATATATCAATCTCAACCACATAAAAGAGATTTGATATCTTTCCCAAACAGTACAACCGGCCTTATCACCCAATAGAATGAAATGCTTTGTTCATAAACAGTGCAGCCTATTCAATGGCCAATTGAAATCGGACAACATTCACCAACTCCCTGCAATGTTTATTTTTGGGCTTGAAAAATCAGAGCACAAATATTGAATTTGGATTTTTTTTGATGGAATAATGAACAAATCCATGATGCTGACACTTTTGGGAGGGAAAACTGTTCACCAAACTTCTTTTCCTTTTATATTAAGGAAAACACTTCTTTGTACCTTCTGTCTAGCATTAACCCTTGTTAAAAGGGAAATTACACTAAATAGGACAAAAAAAGTTTTATGTGTTCCAAAATTGGACCTTAAGCATGACAATATTTTTCAAGCTTCACATTAATTACGCCTATTTTGGCAATAAAAAACATGACAATCTTATTTTGAAATTCTCAAACTTATTTATTCATATTCAAAAATTTTCCCTTATTAAAATCCTTCATTCAAGTAAATTTTTGACAAAGATTTTTTTCATTTTCAAATCAAAGGTCTATATATATATTAACTGAAGGTATAAATTTTATAATTACTAAATAATATGATGACATTATATCTATACGAATTGCATTATTTAGACGATTTGCTGATGTAACCTGGCAAATCAGGGGGGTGCAGATATATGAAAATGTGTTATGTCTTTATCTGTATGAATTGCATTATTTAGACGAATTGCTGATGTAACCTGGCAAATCAGGGGGGTGCAGATATGTGAAAATGTGTTATATCTTTATCTATACGAATTTGCATTATTTAGACGAATTGCTGATGTAACCTAACAAATCGGGGGGGGGGGGGGGGGGGGGGTGCAGATATGTGAAAATATGTTATTCTTTATCTATACGAATTGCATTATTTAGACGAATTGCTGATGTAACCTGACAAATTCGGGGGGGGGGGGGTGCAGATATGTGAAAATGTGTTATGTCTTTATTTATATGAATTGCATTTTTTACACGAATTGGACGACATTATTATAATATTGGCTGACTCGACTCACCTAATTCCATGAGAAAATATTTTGGGCAAAAGTATCTACCTCTTTCCCACTGCCTTTTTGTTTGTTGCGAAGTCCCTACCCCTTCATTCCCCATAATCTCACCGTACACATTGCACCACATATTATACGCAAAGAATATCCACAGTGCTCATCTCTACGATAGACCAATGGAAATTGTTTATTATAATATTTCTGACTCGACTCACCTAATCCCATGAGCAAATATTTCATTTTTATTTATTCTAACAAATAAATAAATGATTCATTGAAATTGACGTTTTTTGAGCAGGAACTCTATCCACCAAAAAACTTTTGCTTTTATATTAGAATAGATAGATAAAGAGAGTATTAAGCATGACATCAAAACAAAGTAAACACCCAACAAATACTATCGACCATAACATGATAAAAATGCATTATATCAAACATGTTAAAGACTTATTTGAATATCACTTTGTTTCTACATAAAAAATCTATATTGAGAATGAAATTAAGAACAAATGAGGTATGCACATACTTTTATTATTATGGGATAATTAGAAAGTATACATCCATAGTATATTAATCAGAGTTGATTTATAATAAATTTAGTTCCTAACTATAAAAAAAATACTCCGGTAGTTTTTATTTAGAACCCAAAAATTCAACTCAAATTCCTTAGCTATAGGCCCAAATATCCAAGAATCTTAACGGGCCATCCAACTGTTGCCTGGGAACCCGTCGAATTCAAACCCAACAGACTGACCCATTTAAGTTGATGCTAAAGTTGACACCCCTCAAACCCCCTCTTTATTCGTGACTACTTCAAACTTCTCTCAACCCACTCCTCAAAGAGTCAAAGCTCAACTGTTTTTCATCAAAGCACCGGCCAAACGTAGTGCAACCGTGATTCATCAAAACGATGACTAAACCAACTGCCAGCTCAAATGACGTTCTCAGTTACACAATTTTGGTAAGATCAAGATCTTAAAATTTTAAATATAAATTGTTGGGTTAAGGGCCCAAGCCGAGGTCTGGCCCACTAACCCATTTTGCCAGACGAACGTCCAATTAGGACACTAGGCCAGCCCACAGGCCCATGTTCCTTGAGGATGGACGAACGTCTGGTGTTGGAGGACTCAGGCCCAGCAGCTCATTCAGACGAACGTCTATGCAGGGACAAGGAGCAGAGCCACGGGCCACCAGGGATGGCGACGAACGTCCCCAGAGCAAGCCTGTAGTCATCAGAGAAAACCCAGTGCACATGGTGAGTATCTATCAAGGCCAGGAGACGAACAGCCAATATCCCCCAAGGGTCACCTGGAGCAATCCAACTCACTTCCCGGGTGGACGAACGTCCCCACTGATCCGGCGGGAAACCAAGATTCTGGCGGGAAGTGCATTTAATGCTGAAGATTTGGTAGTTGGGACACCAGCGGTCCACAGGCTGCCACGTCAGTACAGCCACCTGCCCATTGGCGGGGTATAAGTAGAAGCATTTATTTCATTGTAAAGGGTTGGCAACTTTCTATTCTTAGCATACTAGCTTCAGCATTCTTACTCGCAGCATTTCTAACTGCCTTGTAAGACGAACGGCCGACGTGCCTTTTTTAGCAAGTAGATTGTACTTAGGGGAGTTATTACGAAGTTAATAATACCTATTTACATTGCCTGCCATTACTCTTGTTTCCTGATCCATCTGATAGTTGTTGGGCTAGACATTCATACACTCACTCCACTCGAAATCTTTGGGCTTACGTGTTGGGTCCAAGGGTTGAAGGAATAAACCTCAACACTGGCGCCGTCTGTGGGAAACTGAGCAAAAAGTTTCCAGAAACTCTCCCAAACAACTACTAAGTCTACCTACAGCAAACACGATGTCAGGAAGCAACAACCAGCGTGATCTCTCCGAGCGTCTGGAATCGAGCCGCCGGAATCGCGGCCAAAACTCGGAACTGTCCGCAACAATATGGACTTCAGGGGGAAACGGGGGTATCACTGACCTCATCCCCCTGGAGGCCAGGCAGGATCCCCGACTCATGCGTGAACTCGCAGACACCATGCGTCGCATGGCGGACGAGCGGGAGGCCCGAGATCAGGTGTACTTTGCAAGCACCCAGCGAACGCCCCTCTCTCCCATACGCCGCATGCAGTCGTATGATGATACGACGGGATCCAGCGACCACCGGCCCTCCGTCCACGAGCGGCTAGGTGGGGGTTCAGGCTCCCGTGAGACGGGAGGGCGGACCAGGATTAGCATCGCTGCATCCAGGGCTCTCACACCATCAGTTCCTCGCCAGATTCCGCGGGGAGACGAGACCCCAAGGGTCAACACCGTTGGACGACGTTTCCAACGGCGAGGTGCGCAGATCTTCAGGCGGCCGCACGATGTTGTGACCGCTCAGCAGAACGCCACCCCCCCGAAGCCGTGCCCCCTGTGTCCCCCGGAAGGGCCGCACAGGACGCACGGCTGGAAGCCATGGAGAGGCAGATAGCCGAGATGAATAGGCGGGCGGACGTCGGCTCGGCCACACCCTCCTTCTCTCTCACATCACCTTTTACTCCACGGGTGATGAGCGTCGAGATTCCCCGGGATTGCAGACCCCCGGGGAACTTGGTGTATAACGGGGCTGGTGATCCTAAGGCCCATCTGATAAGCTACCAAGGGAACCTGTCCATGCTGGGAGCATCGGACGAGGCCATCTGCAGATTGTTCTTCAGCACCCTCAGGGGGCCAGCTCAGGAATGGTTCGGCCAGTTGAGGCCAGGCACCATTGATTCATACGAACAACTTTCCCGGCAGTTCATGGCACAGTTTGCTGCCAGTACTACCCCCAGGAAGGACGTCACGGCTCTCGCCCACATCAAACAAGGGCGGGACGAACCGCTGGCTAGGTTCCTGGTAAGGTGGAGGGACGAGGTCCTGCAGGTTGACGATCTGGACGAACGTCTGGCCACCAACATGTTCACCAGTGCGCTGGCCACAGGGGATCTGTACCGGGACCTGAGGAGGAATCCCGGCACCAGCTACACCGAGGTTTTGGCTCGGGCACAGAAATATGCCTCCATTGAGGAGGAGATCAGGCAGCGGGACGGAGTTCCCGCAGCCCAGCCTAGGAAGATGGCGGACAGGCTCGGACCTAAACCGGGACCCGGGCCCTCACCCCCAAACAAAAAGAAGAGGGTGGACGGAGCAATGATTCCGTGGAAGGCCCCCTCCGGAGACAGCCAGACACGGCCGGACGATCGCTACATTCCATTGGCCTATCCAGTAAGCCAGGTCTTCGAGGCCATCAAGGACAAGGGCCTCCTGGCGGAACCTCAGGATATGAAGAAGTATATGGGGCTTGACCAATCGGCTTACTGTGAGTACCATCAGAGGATCGGCCACCTGACGGACAATTGCAGCCAATTGAAGAAGGCAATCGACGAGCTGATCCGTCAGGGGTATTTGGGCGAATTCACCCAGCTGCTGAACAAAAACAGCCAGCAGAAGCCGACCCCAAGGCACAAGACATGGCGCCGCGACGACCGGCGCGAGGCAGAACCTCAGGGCGTGGATTATCGGAGTGCAGATAAACGTCCGGAGGGATCCCTCGGCCCAAAGGGCAAGAAGAAGAAGTTGGAGATCAAGGTGATCTTCGGGGGCGCTGAGACAGGGGATACACCCGCCGAACGGAAAAAATTTGAGAGATCACTCTATGTGGGTTCCGTATCAGCACCCCCCACCAAGCGCAACAAAATCGAGGCAATTACCTTCGGCCCCGCTGATCTGCCAATGTCACCAGCACCGCACAGGGACGAGCTGGTGATCAGCATGGACG